TCTTCTTCTTCCTTTTCCTCCTCCTTATTCTTCTGCTTCCCGCCTTTTTTCTTCTTCTCCTCCTCCTTCTACTTCCTCCTCCTCCTTCTTCTTCTACTTCCTCCTCCTCCTTCTTCTACTTCCTCCTCCTCCTTCTTCTTCTTCTTCCTGTTTGAGGAAGTTGTTATCCTTGTTATTAACTTTCCTCCTCACCTCTGGATTTCTTGTCCTCACTTCTCTTCTGGCCTCTGGTTGCCCCCCCCCCCCCACACACACTTGTTCTCTCACTTCCTGAACCTCATGAGAAACTACGGTTTTCCTTTTGTTCAAGGAGCCATGAAGAAGCATGCTAACTGTGAGCTAACCTGTCACCTGTGGCTCAAACAGGTGAGTGACATGATTTATATTATCTCTGAAGCTACTTTACACAAAGAGCTAACGACAACATTATACTATGAAATACTACACCTGAGATAGTAAGCTAAGAAATTAAACCACATTATGCAATGAAATACTACACCTGAGATAGTTAGCTTAAATACCACACCTGAGATAGTAAGCTAAGAAATTAAACCACATTATGCAATGAAATACTACACCTGAGATAGTTAGCTTAAATACTACACCTGAGATAGTTAGCTAAGAAATGAAACCAGGTTTATGTCTGATATACAGTAGGCTACTAGCTTCCTCTCTTTTTGCCTCTGAAGCATACATGCACATGGCAATAAAAACATTTTGCTTTGACCATAACACCTTTTTTCTTTATCTTTTGTTGTCTAATTTACACAAATGACAGTTTTTGTTTGTATGCCTTTCTGTAATGTTCTTTATTGCTGTGCTGCTTCCTTTCTTTCTCTGACTCTTCAGAGCTTCGTGCTGTGCTGCTTGTGTCTCTTTAAAAGAACTTTACATTTCTTTCCCTCTCTGTATATTGATGAGGGGATTAGAGATTAGAGCGATGATCAAAAAGAAGAGATAACCTACATTACAACTAAGGAAACACACACACACAGGACTTAGCTCTCAGCCTTTCAAATAAGATTATCAAGTGATAATATGCAATTTCTAAGACACCTATGTATTATCGCTGAAAACTGACATTTCAGTGCCATCTGTTCCGGGAGAGTTTTTTAAAAACTGAACCTGTAAAATGTGAATAATTCCTAATTAAATGAGCAACACCTGCATGTGTTTCAACTCAAAATAACTCAAAAGTCTTTGTCTTTTAAATATAGTCGGTTCATTCTTTAAAATTCCTTTTCCCCTCGGTGTCTCATTTCCCAAAACAGAGAAGTGAGGATGACTAACATAGCTTTAATACTCCACCTGTCTATCCACAAAAAAAAAAACATTTTACACCAAATATCTTCCTGCAACTTTGCATCAAATAAATGCTTCATAATGGCGCTGAACACTGTGGTTGGAGTGCAGTATTTGAGAGTGATAGCTGATGTATAAGGCACTAACTCATGCACATAAACTTTTTGAAGCTTATTTGTCCTTGTCATTGATCTTCAGTCGAACCTGTGCTGGTAAAATCCAGATTAATGTCCACGTGACCTCATCCCAGTTTCTTTTTTTTTTTTTTAATAGGTCCATATGTTGGGGACACTTTACTTCTACATCAAGGTCGCTTTGCAGAGGACCTGTGAGGTGAAATGGAGCAAGAAGGGGCTCATCCGCAGAGATTCCCCCTGCTGAGGCTGTTCTATCAAGCATCAGGCCGGCAACAGTCAACATCTGTCAACATGGAGTGTCCAGAACCACTCCAGGTAAAAAAATCTCTGTTCATGAGTTTGCTTCCAGTTGTCCTTCTGTCCACCCCTTTCTTGTGAAGACGCTTTTTCAAGAACTCTTCAAATATTCAATGGACTTTTGTGATTGAAGGTCAAAAATCTGGTAATTCTAGTTTTCCTGAACTGTACCTCTACTACTGCCCAACATCATCCTTATATAAAAAACTTCAATCATTTAGAAAATATTGCATTTAGTGAATTAGTTGCATCAACCTGACGTTTTGTGATGATACAATCTTTGTGTAGCTGAGTTCTCAGACAGGGTGAGGCAGCCACAGTGTGAGACAGTGACCTAGTGGTGATATCCAATTTTTCAAATCATGAAATCTTCTCCCTAAATGACTAATTTGTATTTTTATCCTCATCTGGTGAAAAGGAATGTAGGCCTGAATTAATGTGTCCTTCCTTTTTATGTTTTAAGCCTAAACTTGATTAATATTCAGCTTGTTTAATGAAGCTTGCATAAATCTTGTTCCAAATTAACTGGCGGCTTGTCAGGGGTCGACCTGTCAGGCATGTCATCCTCTTTGATTTCGCCCAGTTTTGTCGGTAGCAACTCTACAAACACTAGAGTGTAAAAGCTAGAGAGCTAAAGGACTCCATGTCTCCCCCCTTTCTCTTAATTCATCTAACCCATCCTGCTTTCCTATTCCACTTGTTTCTTCAACTTGCTCTTTGTCACAAACCAAAGAAAAGTAACTCACATGATGCAAACTGCTGCCAGGATGATAAGTCTTCCCACACTCACTCAGTCTTGGATCCAATCGACTATCTTCTGATGACGAATTGTCCTCTGGGGGCTGTGGCCAGTATAATATACATCTTTACTGTCTGTAATGAGTCATGTTCAGGAGATTCTTGTTTGTTGTCCTGTTTTCGTTGCTGTTTGTCTGGGCTTTGTTCTCTGTCTGGCAGCAGAATTACGTAAAACTAGTCAACCGATTTCCATGAAGTTTTGTGGAGGGGTCGGGCATTAGCCTTGGCAGAGGGATGCTCTGTCTGAGAGCCCTTCTACTTGTTATTGTTTAATGATGTGTGCTGCTGGCTAGGTGTTGCTGTGTTGTTTTGTTTTATTGGACTTGGTTTGTGGGAGTGAATGTGGATATGCAGTGTTGTGAAACTGAAGTTCCCCTTACGGGATAATTAACTAAAGGTTAGTGTGATATAGAAAGAATATCGGATTAAATTCATATGATGATGCTGAATATGATATAACTCTATATCTCTTATTAACTTGTTTGGACACCATCCTTAAGATTTATTATCTACTCATCTCTATACACTGTATGTGCATGTATATCTGCAGTTCTGCCATGTTTCAGATTATGTGCACGTATGCATGTTTGGCTTTGCCTTAATCGATGCCCATTTCTCAGATTTTTCATGGATCCATGAGGGCTGTGCTGATCGATGACTCATGCATTAGTTAGAAAAACATTTTATCCCAAGACACCTTTAGCAGAAGCATAAACTGTCTATAAAGCTGGATGATGCATCTCTACTTACTCCCAGTATCCAGAAATGAAAATACCCCGGTTATGATTGACGCCATCCTGCACATTTGCAGCCAGACTTTGCAGATACATGCAAACATACAAACAACACTTAGCACATCCATCAGTGTGATAATAACTATATAAAATGACAGGAAACATCTTTGAGATCAACGCAGCCCTACATAATGTTGTGCAAATCTAAAATGGCATATTCCTTATTGATTAATTGAAAAACTAAAAGTTAGCTGCTCTTAAAAACTGCGTCAGACTCCTGTTCCTTTGTTTTCTACCTCTATCTTTTTTCCAGTGCACATTTTTTTCCTGGGTCTTGTAATTCAGACCTTGGCGTTGCCACCGGTTGCTTTCATGCTAGTCTCCTCATGCTCTCCCTGTAAGTTTGTCCTGGTTCAGCACGTGAGCAGAATTCTTAGAATAAAAATCAATCGGGGCGTGTTCTCCTGTATCATGTTGCTTGCCATATTTCAGCACTCCTTCTTGTATTCCCTGTGATCCGTCACTGGCATGTATGAGGACCTGATGTGAAAAGAGACAAGTGGGCATGGGGGGGGGGGGGGGGTGCAGCGGAACGTGACCGCGGTGCACAACGACCGCTCTGCCTCCTGGGTGGGATTGCTCACCAGCGTCTTGGAAGCCATTTGACCTTCCTTGTTCTGTTCGCGGTAGCAGTGGACAAGGTGAAATCGAATAAGATTTTGATAAACCATGCTGTCCCCACTGCTGTGCTTCTCTTTGTGTTTCTGTGAGAGGTTGTGTGAGATAAAGAAGAGGAGAAAGACTTGATGTACCTGAGTGTGCTGATACTAAAGTGAAGGTTCATCACCTGCACAGATAGTTTTCCGCTTGTTTGGCCATAATGGAAAAATTCTACCTCGAATAGAAGCTCCACATGGATTCCTGTGTTTTGGGAGATTAGACAGTATAATCAGAGCACTATTGAACTGTGATGGATGAGATGAGATTAATGTTATAAATGCAAAAGTCTGGCTTTTGACCTACTAGCTGCAAATTGTAGGCCTCCATGCTTATTACTTCATCAGATGTGTGACAGTGATGTTATTGCATAATATAGAGCAGAGGTCGATATTCACTTTTGTGTTGACAAAACCACCATATAAATTTGCTCAGATAGCAAATCTCTCTTCTATTGACTTCTATTGGCAAACTGATTTTTGGCACCATCCCCAGATTTGTAATTTTTTTCCCCCCTATCTTTTTAGTGTGATATGTTTTTGACTGCCTGTGTCAGCTCGTAACTCACTGCCCCTCGTGGCTTAGAACGGCAGAGGAGACGATACAGACGGTGTTGAGATGCCAAGAAGTTGGAACAAAAACTGGTTTGCAGGACAAAAAGCTGACGGAGACGTAGCTGTTGAAGTCTCTGTAGTTTAAAGCAAACCCGGCATCGCTCTTTTTTTTTTTTTTTTCACATGCTGACTGAGTCCATGTGCTGAGCAGCCATGCACAATAGTTGCAATGATTTGAAATTAGAATGATGGACTGAGGCGCTATTGTGAATGATGACAAATAAAAGGGCTTAACTACAGTAATTTTCAAGGGTGGTTCGACCATTAGGCAGAGAATAAAACCGCCGACTAGAAAGAAATAATTTTCTTTGGCGTGTTGATTACAGCCTATTTTCTGCTGTATTTTTCAAAATAGAAGAGAATAAATTCACGAAAATTACCAAGGTCATCCCATCCACGAGGAGTAGCAGAGGAGAGAGGAACTATCAAGATAAACATGATTGCAGCCACACTGTAACCACAAAGTTCCCACGAGTTTATAAAGGCCTCCACTGACGTATAACACAAGGTACACTTATTGAAGAGTGACGTCATGCACCGCTCAAGCTCTTTATTTTTGTGTTTTATCTTAATTTCTAAATTCGTCTTTCTGCTTGGGGTGTTATGAATTGTTTGTTTGCGGATCTTTGGTTTAATCTTCCCTGTTGAGACCCCAAGGATGTAAATGTTGTCAAGTGCTCTTAAACGAGGATTGATATTTATTTACCGACACAAGGTAAATTAACTGATTTGAACCCTGAACCTTTCAGACGCTGCACTCGCTCCTCATTCAGAACTGACCTCTGACATGATAATCTACTGCTTTAACTAATGTCTCGCCCATAATGGTGACCTATACATTTCTAAAAGGTGTATGTGACCCTATAGTTATTGCCGTATGTGATTATGATACTTGTGATAGTATGACTGTAACCCAGCAGGGCCTTCATGGACATCTATGCCTGACGGAATCATTTAGTCATTTCAGGGCTTTTTATGTGTGGTGTTAGAGCCGGGTTTAGTAATGAAATGATCCATCGTGGAAGCATTAAGAGGTGACGGATAAGTTGTTTGTCCCATTCCAGCTTAATAAGATTTACTTTTGTTTGATAGTGATTGAAAACATTTTTAAAATTCTAACAACTGCACCACGGCTGTTTGTCTGGCTGGTCGCTGTCCGTGGTGCTGATCGGAGGATCTGTCTCCTTCTATCTCTCTCTCTTTTCTGCTTCACTCCTTCTCTCCCTCACACACTTTCTGTTTTTCTTTTTGTCACTTTACAGTATCGCTCACTTGTTAACATTGCCCACTTCTCTCTCACTGAATCACTTTCTCCTGCACACACACACACACACAGGCACTGCTTTTTCTCTCTCTTTCTGTCTCCCTCCCTCCCTCCCTCTCTCTTTTCTTCTTCACTCCTCCTCTCTCACAGGCTTTCTGTCTTTTCTTTTTGTGTCTTTACAGTATTTTCTCTCGCTCACCCATTAATATTTCCCACTTCTCTCTCATTGACTCCCTTTCTCCTGCACACACAGGCACTACCCATTCACTCTCTCTCTCTCCCTCTCTCTCTCCCTATCTCCCTCTCCTTCTCTCTCTCTCTTTTCTGCTTCACTCCTCCTCTCTCACTTTCTCTTTTTCTTTTCGTCTCTTTACAGTATTTTCTCTCGCTCACTTTTTAACATTGCCCACTTCTCTCTCATTCTCCTGCACACACACACACAGGCATTGCTCGTTCCTTTCTCTCTCTCTCTCTCATTCTCTCTTTCTCTCTCTCTCTCTCTCTCTGGCACGCAAGCGCGCACACACCTCCTGCTGTTCAAATATTCATTTGCTACACCTCAGAGGCCCTTTTCCTCCCACCTGCATCCCCCGGCAGAGACACGGAGCCCGTGGCTTGTGGAAATCAATGCGGACATAAAGACAAATATCCTGATTAAATGCTTCGTCTTATCATTTTAAAGTGGAGCAGTCACAACAACGACCACAAAGGAATCACAGGAGAACAGTCCGTGGCTCAGTCTGAATCTCTCAAATCCACTTCAGTGTTCATTTTTCCGTCGAGATGAATCCACCCGCGGATTCCGTCGATAGTTTGCGCGCAGCTTTAGGCTCCATCGAGCGGTGAGTGGGCAAACTATTGACGAACCACCGGGCTCAGAAACATGCACCG